TGTTTGTTCCGGCTAATCTCCGAAATGCCTGGACCGGAATTTTGAGCGGACTTTTACTAGCAGATAGCTGATTTTATAAGGAGTAACTAAAGCTACTTTTATTTTGGAAAAAGATTTAGGGTTCCGCACAAAAAAAATTAAAAACCATGAAATCCAATCTTAATTCCACGTGGACGAAGTCGTGGGGAACAGCTTAAGTAAAATAATACTAGAAAGTTTATTAGGGTAGTCTAAAATTCAGTGCAAAGTTCAGCAAAGTTATCCAGAGTGGAAAGTTCAGTGAATTAAATCTGTACTGTCAAGTGAACCGACGCGAATCTTCATGCAGTCGAACGGCCACAAAATGTGACTAATTGAACGCTCAGCGCGTCGAGCCGTACGTTCTAACCCGTTTACCACAATCCAATTGCGTGAACTCAACTCCGCCATATTCGCAGTCCTACCCTCGGGGCTCTCACTTGATATCGACACCCCGAGTTATTTCGTCTATAACTCACTGACCCGTGGATCCAAATAGATATTGTTGTAGCCGCGATCCAGGTGAACTGGTTTTATTTCTGGTGATAATTGCTTTACTAAATTTCTTGTAGTATATTTTGAAATATAATAATGTGCGATCCGTTAGAGTGAGGGCCTGGTGATGTATAACACAGGGATTACCCTTATATATAGTCTCACACTAAACTCGTAGATTGTTTCCAACGTAATAATAGAATGTCGGTCAGGGCGGCCAGCCGGAGACTAGCCATCTGCGCAGGACAGGATTGTAGTGCCCAAGTGTATGCGCAAACACAGGTGCACTCTATTCCTTTTTCCCTTACTATCATAATCCGATGGGACGGTAAACCAACACGACAGGAGAGAGATCAGGCGCAGGACCAACGGCTTTACGTAGTTTCCGAGGCACGGGGGTTAGACACCGCCAACTTCCTAACTCCGGGCAGCTACTGAGAATTTCTTGACGGAGAAATCCAATTACTGATTTTTTGGCCGACCCCGGATTCGCACCCAGGACCAGTTGCAGTAGCACCACCACAACCACTAGATAAATGAGACAGTCAACCAACCAACCGTATTGTGTATGTATAAAGTGTAATTTTATACCTTTGTGAAGAGTTAATAAAAAATAATAGAAGGAAAGAAAGCACTTAAGTTAAAATATTTATATTTACAAACGCAATGTTATATACATTAGCGTAACAAAAATTAAAAATAAAAGCACTGTGAAATAATATAACATGGGCATGCTTTCCTTCCTTTTTTTCTTTTTATATGTCCTCAATGAACATAATTCACTTTACAGTTATCTGTGTTAAATAAAAATTATTTTCTTTCCGAAACAAATATCTCTAACTGCTTCAGCTTTCTTTTTGCCTACGCCCGAGTGAAACCATTAGTCAAGCTTTTTATAAAACAAAGATAATTATTTAGGAGACTGCTGTTATTAATTACGACTAGTGCCTCGAATCAATATATTACATTGCACTCGTTATTTTATTTTGTACTCCATATAATGAAAAAATGTACAGAGTAGTTCATTGAAAAGCGTTAGTAATGGGCGATCTTATTGCTGGCAACAATCTCTTGCAGATAACCATTGGATAAATATTTCTTTTATTTGTAAAATGTTGGTAAGTGTATTTCTTTTATATTTTTTTTTATAGAATAAGGGTGAGAAGCGAGCACACAGTCCACCTGATGGTAAGTGGTTGTTGGGGCCCATAGACATCTACATCTATCCTCGTTTGCGAATAAAATGTAGATGCGTTGTCAGCCGTGAGGACTTTGATGGAATGCCTCTATTCCAGTAAAAGGGTCTCCGGTGCTCTACACTCACCAAACAAAACACAGCAGCATTAAGCTGCTATTTTACGCTATTATCCTATGAGAGCGTGGTGCTTCCCCGGTCGATACGACCCGATCGTGCCATAATCATAATATCGCTGTATCTACTCGTACCACGAATGAATATCGGAAGTAAAATAAAAGAGAGAGAACTATTTTGATGTGATAGACATCACAAGTGTAAAAATTTAACAAATGAAATTGAAAATACTTACTTAAATATTGAGAAATAAATAATTATTAAGACCCAAAGAAACCGACCTTCTTTATAACGACCGAAAAAAAAATGCGATTGCAAACCTGCCAAGCGTGAAAACTATGGCCAATTCTCCTTATGAGATATTCTATGGGGGAGCGCTTTGTATAGCAGTGGACTTTGATAAGCTGATAAGAATGAATGAACTTGAAATATTATTAACATTATGGTGTTACCACATTTTGTTGTAATTTTAAGGAAATTAACATAGATAAATATATATGTAGCAAGGGAAATTAATAATTTTATTAATAATCTTAAAATGGCGTCGTATCTCGTCGGTGTTATAAAAAAATTGAATATTAGACAGCTTAGTTATCCATTTTGGGATTCCTTTTTCAAATTTAGAGTCATGACTGAATGTCAAACGGACGTTATACATTAACAATGCCACTGTACATTTTTAAGCCAACATGTAATTTCCATTATCTAAAGTCACAGCAATGAGGCAAGGCTACCATCGGAGTGCGCTGTACCCCGAAGTGCTGTGCATATAGAATGGTAATTAATTTTCATTATGGCAACACTGTGTGGGATATTCCTATAGAAATTCAAATTAACTAACCAGTTAACATGCATGTGTCAGAGCGTTAGTTAGTATTGAGTTGAATAAGATTCTGATATATATTTTTATCTATTTTATATTTATAGGATCGCTTATGTCGTGGTCCGATCATTTCACGATTCACCGCCATTTCATAACTTGACCAATAATTTATAACTTTGTCATCATAAACACGCCTATCACTCAAAGGGATAGGCATAGACTATGCATTTCCATTTGCCACGACCCTGACATACCCCTACCGCCTCCTTTACATCCATATACCTACGCATACATGCTAGTCGGTTAAGGATACTTGTATTTCTACTTCAATATATCACCAATTTGGTCAATAAACTTTCGCCTAAGACATCCCTTGCTGACTCCGCCGTTAACTTCGGCAATATAAATTTGTTTTGTCACTCTTTCCTCGTTCATTATTTCTACATGACTAAAGCATCGAAGCATTCCTTTCTTAATCCTGGTGACAACATCATCTTGCAAACCACACTTTTCTCTTATCACATATTCAGATTCAGCCCCTCTGTTACCATATAAAAAATACGAAAGCACCTATATAGCAATATCAGCGACAGTAGAGTTGACGCATATTCACTGAACAACTACAAAAAGAAGCCTAAGTCACGCTTTCGAATTTTCTAGAGTACTATACTATATAAATTAGGCACAAAGTGATATTATGGCGAATAAACCATCGGCCAAATCATTAAATGGCGGCGTATCAAGAAATGCCCAGTTAGATTACAATCTGCCAAATTCTACGATTGGACTACGACACGTACATGTAATAACAATCAACAGTACAATTATATGTCGTCCAATCGATAGTAATTAGTCGCCGTATAGTGGCGGCGTGTAGAATACACTACGCCATATCGTCCCGTGGGTGTCGTAAGAGGTAACAGAGGAAAACTGAAACATGAGATATTATAGAGATAATTGGATTCTGTTAAGAAATTTTTAATAGCAGTCTGCACTCAGGAAGTTGGCGGTGTTACGGAAGGCACGTGAAGCCGTTGGTCCTGCGTCTGATTTCTCTCCAGTCGAGTCCCCTCGTGCTTACGCACACACTTGTGCCCTATAATCCAGTCCGACGCAGATGACTGGACTCCTTTGATACTGGCCGCCAGTTGCCAGTAGCTGATACCATTGCATACGTACAAATGAATGAAACGTTAGTGTGAAAGTGGAAACTAAACTCGATGTCGATCTCATCTCAGTTCCAGCGTCAATTAAGAGTAATAGGCACAATTAGTCCGCACCCCATGGCGTTCACTCTGAGACGTGTCAGCGTGGGCTCACTGCCGATTAAAATCATTCGACGAAGCCTTTAGACTGTTAGCTACAGTAGTTATGTTATGTATGCTTCTCTACAGTTCCATCCCGCGCAACTATTTTGAATTGTTTAGATGAAACTTATTTTATGTTCCCGACGTTTCGAGTAGGTACTTTACAGGACCCTTGGTCACAAGGGGACTGAATTGTGCGACGTCCTAATGCCATAGTTAACCACGGCTACCTTCAGTTTAAAATTATTAATTTAAAATTAATAATTTGGTTAAGTGTTTAAGTGTTGGCGTAAACATAAAAAAAAATCATTATTTTGAGCTGTTAAATGAGATTCGTTTGATTCGATGATTATGAAAATTCACTGCACTTTGAATATTTTTTAAAATAAATATTTTAATGGTCATATTTAATTAATTTCGAAAACAAGTTAATTGACGCAATAGAAACAAAAGCCAAAATCACGCTTTAGAAGTTTCTAAATTATTCTTGTATAATGTATACTATACATAACTTTATTATGACCGCCAAAAATGGAAGCACTAAAAGTTTGGCCATTAAGATTCTGAACATAGGCCTCTGTAATTTAATTTATAATAATAATTTAATAATGAGTAGTTATATAATGGCGGAATAAGCTATTTGTGGCTGTACGCTTCAAATTACCTTATAGTGCTTGCGGTTGATGTGGTATTGGCTTAGTTCTGGTGTGCGTGTGTTCGTAATTCTTTTCTTCCTAAACAGCTTGACCGGTTTTGATGATGTTTTATGGGTTACTCACTTACGGAGTCGCATGGATAGTTCTTAGCTATATTGGGACTTGGAATGTGGCGCTGTTGTCCATATCCAGAAATCACGCGTGCTAATCCGGGACGATTCGCTAGTGTTCATATATTTCATCAAAAATGTCTTAACGATCCAGTTTTACATTAAAAGATAAAAAACCAACAAAATAACCAATTAAAATATGACAATTTGAAAACATAGTTGATACTAAAAGGTTCACTTACGGTTAATTGGTTGATAATTTTTACAAAACAAACTTACCTTTTCAAAATGCGTGACCTCAGCCAGGAGGATAAAGTTGATGTGTATGAATCTTGCATCTTCGCAGGACCTAGCTTTGACCCTATATCCGGGTCTGTTGTAGAAATATTTGTAACCCGTATATTCCGAACTATCAACGTCCACTTTAAGACCACCTCTGAACTGCCAGTCACCTCCACATCCGTAGCAAACACCCTTGGGTACAAACTTCTCCCAAGCAGGAGGAGGCCAGGCTAGACCGTTGACGATGCCCGCCCCCGCAACGCCACTGCGGGGGCGAGGCCATGTTCCCGAGTTTTCTTTTGGCCTGAGGCCTGGAGAAGCCCTTTGCAGTTTCCACTCTTCGGGACGCCTAGTATCAGCTGCCGGTCGCCATCTCCATTTCGAGATCACTTATTCTCTATCGGGACCGTCACTTAGTCCAGTGGTTCATCTATTGAGTCCAGATTACTTTCTTTCGATGTATTTGCGTCAGGTTTGAAATCTTGCATTTATCACTTGACGTTTACTAGATATATTTAAAGTTGTTGAGGCGTCATTGATAGGATATGTCAATATAAAATTTGAACTTGATTATTTTTTTAATAAATTTGTATCAATTAACGTAATGAACATTTTTTATGATTTTTAGAATAATACTTAAATCGTAAAAAAATGTAAGCAACCTGTTACTAGATACGGATCCCTCTTAAGTTAGAAGTAAGTACATTAAAAATAACGCACAATTTGGATTAGCGACCTAAGAACTAGACCAGTTACAAGTGGTAAAATTAAAAATTTTGTACAACCAACTTCAATATAAATAAAATGAGAACATGATCAATGTAGTCGAAGTCAATTAAATACTATTATTAAGGATAACTCAAAAGCTACTGGTCAGATCTTGATCAAATTTATATAGGACCACATGAAAAGTACCAGATTTCAAATAAAAAAAGAATCATCAAAATCGCTTCACCTACAACATAGTTCTAAGCTAACAAACATAAAAAATGACAGTCGAATTAAGAACCTCCTCCTTTTTTGAAGTCGGTTGAAAAGCATATTCTTTCAAATATCTGAGGCTATTTTAGTTTTTAACTTATTGGAGTAAAAATCATATCTACTTGAATTAGAAATATTTGGTGTAGAAAGACAGAGCAAAGGTATACACAAAAGTGCGATAGAATTGGTTTGTAAGCAAAGAGGGAATATTTGAGCTGAAGTTGAATTTGGCTACGTAAAGAAAACTTATACAATACCGGTGGAAATGAAGTAATAGTAAAAGTACTTAAGTAACAGTAAAATTATCTACGTTGTTCTAGCCAAGCAGAAGCCTATAATCCTTATACTACATTCGTTCTACTCGTATAGTCAGACACATTCTTATTTTTGAGGATTTTAAAGCACAAATAATTCGGTGCGATACAATGCTTGTTGACAAACTTAACATGTCCTTGAAAGATAGAAAACCGTCGTAGTGCCATGAGCAGCTAATATTAGTTGTATAGTTGTAGCACGAATGGGTCGGCTCGACCGGGTACCACGCTCTCACAGAATACCAGCGTAAAATAGCAGCTTAACGCTGTTGTGTTTCGTATGGTGAGTGTAGAGAACCGGAGACCCTTATTACTGGAAACGAGGCGTTCCATCTTAGTCCTCACGGGTGACAACGTATCTGCCATTTTGATTCGTAATCGAGGATAGATATAGATGCTTATGGGCCACAGAAACCATTTACCATCAGGTGGATTGTGTGCCCTTTTGTTACCCTTATCTTTTAGAAAATACTACATTCGTTTTATAGTCAGACGCAGACCTATTCTTATTTCTGAGGAGATTAGAGCAAAAATAATTCGGTGTAATACAATGCTTGTCGACAAACTTAACATGTCCTTGAAAGATTTTTTTTAACATTCCAAAGTTACAGGTTTCCTACAACGCTGCCCTTCACCACTAAGCATGCCACCAGTATGTATAAACTAGTACTTAAAATTACAGTAACTAAGTAAAAATTATATTTTAAAGGAACTTATATAAAAAAAATCCCTCAAGTAGACAGAAACCCCCAATCCATTTTGTATAACGTCTACTTCGTCGAGCACGTGTTAAATTAGTATTTCAAATTGCAATTAACAATATTATTGGTGTCAGCAAAGTCAAGATCAAAATATTTTATTCGAAATTGGTTCCCACGTATTAGAAATCGAAGCTGGGATTCAACTCTGTTTGCTCGCCTGCTATGAAATATTTAAGGCAATCGCTTATCTCCTGATATATTACCGCAAACCCAGAATAAGTGGCACTAAAACATCAAAACCCTAAAAAGGTTTTAAGGGTTAAAAGTATCTCCGACTCTAATCCGCCTAAGAGGATTTGATAGATGTAATTCTAATAAAGTAATAAAAAGCTAGTATTTATTTGAATGGTCAATTTCGGTGATCAAATTGATAGAGATTAATTAAAAAAAAAACCTTGTGTGTTCTTAACGACAGAGACTAATGTCAGTCGCAAAATTTTCTGAGAAAGTACTTCTTAATGTGGATTGTGAAAGCCTAAACTGAGCCCGGCTTTTATCGGAATTACTAAATCATTGTGCACCCGCTTGTCCCCACCGGCTCGTGGAGGCTCAGCATCGGTTGACTATTAATCAAGGAACTCTCGCGTGATTAATTAGAAAATTAGCAGTTAGGATGAAATCACTAAAATTAGGAATGACGTATACGTTGCTGTAGTAAACGACTAACAAGTAGAAGAATTGTTACAGAAGCAGTTTCTTCAATTTTTTTTTTCAGTAGTAATTGATAAAATAAACAAAAACATTAATTAACATGTTATATTATGAGAAGTGAATGAATTAGATTTATTTAATTTAAAATAAGTTAGTTGATGATATCGATTGTAGTAATAATATTTCAAACAATGTTTTTTTATAGGATAGGGTGACAAACGAGCCCACAGTCCACCTGATGGTAAGTAGTTGCTGTGGCCCATAGACATCTACATCTATCCTCGTTTGCGAATCAAAATGCAGTTGTGACCCGTGAGGACTAAGATGTAATGCCTCTTTTCTAGTAAAAAGGGTCTAGTTAAAGCCAGCTATTAAAGTGGTACCTAAGTTTGGTTCTTACGATAATAGGAGATAAAAATCGTTAAAAAAAACTAATAAACAAACACAAAATCAATAAAAATTATTTAGAACTGCATATATTACACAAACATGGTGGTGAAGTTAAGCTACAACTAGTTGGAACTAATATTAAAATTCTTCAGGGGTGAAGGGTAATAGTGCATCATAATTTTTACATTATGGGCTAAAAACTTGCAATTATACTAATATTTTGATCACTATTCCATCTACAGATAGTTACCGCATCCAAATTTCGATGGGCCTTTCACGATTCCTTGCTGTCGGTCTTAATAAGAAATAAATTTGATGCCCAAATCCTGTTACTGCGGATTAATTTCATACCCTCAGGATTATGGTCTTAGTAGTGATGAAAGTAATTCGGTTGCGGATTAAAAAAAATGAGTGATGTTGTTATTTCTGATGAAAAATGAATAATTTCTTATATCTCAAATTATATTATTGTAGTAGTTATATTTTTTTTCTTAATTGGTTATTTAAGGATGCGCTGCATAGTTTAAGTTAGTATTTAGAGACTTATCTCAAATAAGACATGATATCTGAGCAAAATCTATGAATGCTGATTTAAAGATGATCCTAAGAATATGAAACCGGCAGAAGCCAAAACCATCAATTTATTTGTGTAATGAACACTGCATTACAAAAGTAAATTGATGGTTTATTATCGCAAGGCTTTTTTTACGTTTTTTTAATACGATAAGGGTGACAAACGAGCAGACAGTCCATCTGATGGTAAGTAGTTGCTATGGCCCATAGACATCTACATTCACCCTAAACTACGAATCAAAAATGCAGATGCGTTGTCACCAGTGAGGACTAAGATAGATTGCCACTTCTCCGGTTGTCTACTCACCATATGAAACACAGCAGCGTTAAGCTGCTATTTTGCGCTAGCATTTAGCATTAGTGCTACAACTACACTACTGATATAGCTGTATCATGGTTCTACCACGTTTATATAGACTGGAACACTGATTCAGATAGTGTCTTAATATTAGGTACCTACACAGAAAATAATTTATGAACCAGTCTAATTCGAGGTAATTAAAAGAAACTTAACTTTTCAACCCTAACTTATATAAAATTTACGAAAAGAATTTTGGCAAAGCCTTTAATGTTATAAAGACTGATGTATGTTGTTCTTCAAGTGAAACAGTTTCCTTTAAAGTACCACTTAAATCTGCACAATTAGTCCGACACAAAGCAGCGCTGCGACGAAGACGCCTGGTTAATTAGAGAATTTCCTTTGAACATACAAACAGGCTGAATGATGCAGTAACAGTTTCGGTCCAGACAAAGCTCGCGGGCTGCTACATTAGCTGGAATACCGCCAAACGATCTATGCGTACTGCACAGAATTAAAATATAAATAGTTAAGTAATTATTAGAGAACTCGACAGTGTAGTGGCTGTGTAAGAATAGCCACTACCACATATCGCTTTTTTACTTCGGGATATATCAGAAACATCTGATCGTTTACGATTTAAGATGATGAGATATTATATATAGAGATTGATTAGATAGCGGTATAACTACCACGTTTACGCCAGATTTATTTACCCCCGGTTTTTGCAGACCGATACGACTTAGGGACTTTCAAGAAACAAGCTTCCTCTTTTTTTAAAAGGGATAATTCATTTCAGGTCAAAAGTGCATTAAACGTGTATTTCATACCCTAGTTTCATCCAATATAACCATTATTTGCAGTTGAACCCATTATAAGTAGAAAAAAAACAAAAAGTAAGCAACTAAACTAACATGGAGGAAAAGTAAAGTATATACATCCAAAGAGAAATCCAACACTAATATGTTGTACATAGAAACCACAAAATATATTCAGTATAAAAAGTTTATTCCAGATGTAATCGGATCTGTCCGAGCAAATCCCTCCTTTCCCAGATTTTCCTACGGGAATGCTCACCCTTTATCTACTTTATGAGTAGCAAATTTCCTGGCGGACTTATTACGGCAGCGATGGAATAGCATGAGCGACGAAAAAATAAAAATAGTAGGTCGAGTGTTTGGCGTAGGTATCTCTTCTAACGCTGCGCGAAGCTGATCTGTTTTCATAGGTTATTTGTTTGATGTTCGATCATTATGTCACAGATAAAACGAAATGAAAAGAGTTCACGACACCAATATGTGGCTGAGATCGTGCCACTAGAATTGATGAAATGAATGAAAAATATTTGGATTTGTGATTCAAAATAATAGTATATTGATAATGGAATATAAATATTGCAAAAATATATAAATATGGCAAATCCAAATTCATTTATTTATTTTATTTATTTATTCTTTATTGCATTCCTTAATCTAAAAGAATACAAAGGGCGGACTTAATGCCTTGTGGCATTCTCTACCAGTCAACCCATGGAGTGGTGAGAATTTGAAGTAGGTTTAGCAATATAGAATAAAAACAAAATAGAAATTTATAATTAATTACGTTATATATACATTTTACTAATATATACAATAAGTAAACTTTAAAAATATGTCCTATTTATACATGTATACAAAATCTTACCGAAAGCTAAGCCCCTGATCTACCATACCTAGTTAATATAGTCGTATATTTACATACTGTTATTTTCCAATAAGGAAAAATGCTAAGCAAAATCAAATATTTTGTAATGGCCTTTCATTTTAAATAATTGACTGCAACTGGGTACGCTGAACTTCGCCATACCTTTGGAAATTCTCAAAACATTATTGACAAAATTGAAGACGAATTTCCATCAAGTATGACTAAGTAACTTGGCCTTTGTATAAATTGTATTCGATTCGCAGTTATAAACGAATACCGAAATATTATCAACGTCGAAGTCACCCTAAATGTCAATACAAATTCTATAAGCAGCCTTCGACCGAAGTTTATTAAGTCGTCCCGTTCAGGATCCCTCGGAAATGAAGAAATCCGGTCTGTAGGCCCGTTGCTTTAATGGAATCTTCTTCCAGCTGTTCAGCGATGAAAAATACCTCGGGCAGTAATTTTTGCGGTAAATTTATGTCGGCGAAACGCTTGTCGATGCTGGGCTCGTTCCTATATAAATATGCTTATATTTGAATAAAACTAGCTTTTACGAATTTTATCGCGTATTATTTCCGTAAATTAAATGTGTAGCGCTCACGTAAACATAAGAAAACATTATGTTTTCATCTTTTATTAAATATCAGTTGGAATCCGATTTCATCTTACAGATAAGCAGAGATTCTTGAGTGAAAACACACACTAATCCCTTATAGATACATTGAATTTGAATGCTGAATGAACCTGATGCTGCATATTATTCCAATTATTTGCAATAACATTAAATAAACATTCCTATCTAAATTATAATTTTAACAACGATTCCCATCGATAAAAACCCTATTAATAATAATCATTTACAAATTCCTTATAAAAATAAAATGCACTCTGAAAAAGTTTCCAAGATTCGTAATTGACTGAGTTAGCATTGTGGAGATGGAACTTCAGTTTATTGTAATCTTTGAACAACTTAAACGAATAAAGTTGACCCCATGTTGGCACCCAGTGCCAACAATCGCCACTCAAAGGAATCAATAGAACGTGAAAGCAGATAAGTTTGACAGAGGAACTAAATGTTACTCTTGCTCGTAGTTGACAGACTTGTCCGGAATTCGGAATCGATGGACGTCCGGTGCGGTGAATCGAACTTAACTAAAGTTTGAGGATGCGTCGCAAGTTTTGACGTCAAGAAGAAGACAGAACATAACTCATTTTTTACTATAAATTTAAGGTTGAATATAATACAATATACGTGTTAAATACTACCGTAAGTACACGCGGTTGCTTATCATGATGTTTCGCGTTCGAATCTCGAGTCACTCCAAAATCATTCATTGGGTTTTTCTGTCCAGAAATTTTCAGTAGATGCCCGGAGTTAGGAGGTTGGCAGTGTTTCACCTCCGTGTATGTTAAGTCGTTGTTCCTGCACCTGATTTGTCTCCGGACGTGTTGAATAACCGTCCCATTGAACTATTAGAGTGAGAGAATACAAAGTACACCTGTGCTTATAGACTTGAGCATTATAATCCTGTCCTGCACAGACTAGTCTCCGTTGTCAAACGAGCCGCCGTGATCGAGATTCGGTCTGAAGGACATTAATACATTATAATATATTATAATAATACACTTTTTAAATAAAAGTAAGTTTGAAAATCGAGCATATAGTCCATCTGATGGTAAGTAAATGCTAAGGTCAGGTAAGGACAGCTAGATTCAAAACACAGATGCATTATCGCCATTGAAGACTGATTAGCATCATTACCATTAAAAATGATCCCTGATTCTTATCACCAGCTATTCTAAACATAGCAGCGTTATGCTGCTATTTCACGCTTGTATTCTCTGGAAGCGTGGTAATGCATTATTTTAACTGATTTTACTGCGCACGCACATATTCGTAAGGGTCGATCAGTAGGCAAAAATGTTGTTGCCCATAAATCACATTCAACGTGGGATAATTTCAAATAAAATTAGAAGCCTTATTTACACGTACTATAAAAAACTGCAATAACGATATATCATTATTTATATATTTGAACTTAAGTTTAAAATTTGGCTACACTTTGAAAAATAACCCTGTATAAGAATCAATTGCTGTGCATGTTAGCGATACCATCGCTAAAACTCAAGAACGGCTCGACCGATTTTGATGAAGTATTTTGTGTATGTTTAAATGGTTCTTTAGATGGTTTATATCGAACGTTGTGCAAATCCTCCGGGGGATCCGCAACGTTCTAATTGAACCCTTTGTTCCGCTGGATTCCGACGACCGAAAGTCATACAAAAACACTACACAATCACCTAGTGCCACAAACACTGTCAGTACAATAACGGATGGGACGCAGCGAGTCCGCAGACGGGCGCGCCGCTCACCCGTCCACACCGCGTACACAGCGAAGACCAGCCTCTCTGGTACGGTATGGTATGATACGAGTTAGCCGTCAGAGCCGGAGCCCGAAACCCTTGTTCGGACGGCGGTTAGACACCTCCCATGTCATGTTGTAGTTTTCAGCGACATTAAGGAGTATTTGATGTTGATGTAATGATGATGTGATCACTGAACACAATAAATACTACCCCCAGATTGTCGGTTTTAGTGCAACGTCGCTTTGGCAACGCAGCACTAAAATAAATAATCTTCCCCCCTTTTTTATAGCTCGTGGTCTTTCAGGCTACGAGCTATAAAAGTCTGATGAAGATGTAAGTGCAGCATAGGCTAACAGTATTAAGATCACAGAATCTAGATGGTTTAGATGCAAATTTGAACCCGGTAAGTGGCGTTGTTGTCGAGATCCAGAATACATCCGTGCGAAGCCGGGGCAAATCGCTAGTGTCTAAATAGATTTCAACCATATATTATTTTGATTCGAATAAAAAATATTATTATTTTGCCTTTTATCGATCAGTTTCACTTACTTGATTTCACTCTGTAACTCGTAATAGTAATGCTATTAAATCCGAATGTATATTTGGATGTAATACTAAAAACTTAGAATTTAGATTAGAAAATCACGACAAAATGATATCTAAAGAAGAACATTAAAAAAGGCATCTTTGTTGGACGAATGTTGACTTCGGCACAGAACACAAACCTAGACCTCGGGATTAAGAAACCACAAATATGCGCTATATTCAATACCGACGTTAATACCTGGAAATATAGACCGAATCTTTCTTTGATAATATGATGGTAAAATAACGATTTCTAATGTATTTGAGTAATTTTATCACTGACGTGGATTTAGTTTATTTTTATTTATGTGTTAATTTAGTTAAAAACCAATTTTAATAGAAAGCTTATCGTAATACTGAATTTTTTTTAAAATATCGAATAAACGTGACAAATGAGCACACAGTCTACCTGATGGTAAATGGCGGTTGGGGCCCATGGATACAGATGCGTTATCATCCCTGAGGATTAATATGGAATGCCTCATTACTCGTACCAGTAAAAAGGGTCTCCGGTTTTATACACTCACCGTACGAAACACAACATTAAGCTACTATTTTGCGCTGGTATTCTGTGAGAGCGTGGTCCTTCCTCGCTCGAGCCGACTCATTCATGATGCAGCCATAATATAGCAACAGCATGGCTCTGCTACTTTTATAGCAATGAGTAACACAAGAGTTAAAATTTTATAGAAAAGTATAGTTAAAACTATATTATACTAAAAGATGTACCTAATTTTCTAATAATGTAGTACAATTTCTTCTTCAATCATGGCCATAATGTACTTGATGGTAATGGTGCTGTTTGCGCAGCTACTTGTAAAAAATATGTAATAATTTTAAAAAGTTCTTGTGGAATTGTTTAATCAATACGAAA